CCAATCTGCAACGTTCCAGCAATTCACGAGTCGGACTAGTACATCTGTCTCAAGTCGCAACCGGCAGATGCAAAACTCCGTCGAAAGCGAAGCGAGCAAGACCGGTAAACGCCGTGCAGACGTGGAGAAGCGGAAGGGTACGCGGTACATACCCGAAAACTGGAGCAAATACTGCATAACGCTGCAGTGCACCCACGGCCGGAGCCAGCCACCTCGTGGATCTGTAAAGCGCAAAGAGTAATAAATTAGTACATAATAACTAGTCATTCGACGAGCACAAAGTGTTGCTTGCTCAAGTAGTATTACTAAACTAGAGAAAAAGTTTTCATGCTCGCACTACTGGTGGCCTTCAAGCGCTCACATTACACATTTTGGACTGGATCACCACACCTCTTTCCTTTTTCCCGATAACTTCCGCATTCCCCTTAATTGCTCGTCTTTGATGGTGGAGCAGAATACCTTGTTCTGCTAGCCGACCCGGATATCGGAGTTTCGCCTGGCTCAGCAGGTGATGTAAGTACGAGTTTGCGTGAACGTGGCTTTTTCACTATGAACCTAAGCGGAATGATTTGGCATTTCTACCACTGTCTGGATACCACTGGCTAAATAGTTGGAGCATCTCGCTCCACTAATCGGTTGTTCTTGGCATCTCTTCGCCCAAGCTTCTGAAATAAATAATATCTTCTGGCGAAATCTTCGTATGCTTACGATTATCGTTATCGAGTCCCCGTTTTCACCTCCTTTAGATGATCGGTGGGATGTTAGATCGCTTGTTTCGGATGTAGACAGAATATTTTATGACGAGTTCTGTCTTGGAAGTGATACTGTACGTATATACGACTCATCAAAAAGCAAACTGGTAAATGGTTGACCATTTGTGCCACATGCACTATCAGATGGGGTACATTCGCGCTTTCAGGGCGTACATTAATCAAACTTGAACGAATTCTAGAATTTTGAGTGCAGTTGTACGGATACTTTTGTTCGATTAAAATGCTTCATTATCGATATTTGAATCGTAAAGTAGCAACGTTACACCAGTTGAAGATACGGTGGTGCTGTTCGATGGCATGGAAGCCGGCCATGATGCGCTACAGACGAGATCATCTTCGACACGTTGACCAGGCCGGTGACCATTGTTCCTAGCGTTTTTAAGTGCAGCCCACTTTGGCTGATAGCACCCTCTGGTTTAGGGGAAATTCAATCGCACATGCAACTTGGAAAATCATTAATACGAATAAATACTACAACTCTGCTTTTGATCAGCTTCGTAACGCGTCAAATAGATTTGCCATCGTTTCTGCTCGTTCGTAATGTCTGTGGTTGAAACAGGATGATCAGCTTTAAATCGAACGACGAAGGATCTTTTCGAAGTATCTGTCTCAGAGCTGTCTTTGCACTTGCAGCTTCTGTAAGCCGTTTTACTTTGCTCTCAATGGTTGAATAGCATCTTTCTTCGCAGCTGAAAGGTAGTGTTTGTATTGTTACCGCCTACTAGGTTTTAGAATATTGTACCGACGAGTGGACAGGACTTTCATACGGCTCTTTCATGAGCTTTTTCATACTGATGTTGGCGTATGAGCTCATATTTCTCTAGTGCAAAATCTACTGGAAGCTCGTATGCAGCCACCGTAAGCTGGAGTGAGAAGAAAAAAAACTATTATGAAGCTGAGTAGACCGTAACGACTTTGAACCACTGCAAAAACATCACTTTCACAGTTTTGTGTGGCGTCTTGATGCTCCTAGCACTTTATTTATATTGTCGGCAACTACGCACGTGTTTTCAAATATTCAGATCCGCTGACCATTAAAATCAATTCAAGATTCGAGCGATGAGACGAAGCGTGTGACAACATTTTCAGGACGAACTCGAGCTGTGGTAATTTCCGGAACAGATCCACGACTTAGTTTAGCTGCTTGCGCAAGTTAAATCTAATACACCAAGATTTACATTCCTCCCAACGCAGCACCAACCCGAAGGTTATGGTGCACAGCAAAAAAGTCTAGAATGCAAAACCCCAGTGAGGATGCCACCTGTCGGACAACCAGGGTTTTAGAGCAGAGTGAAATCCTTCCAACTGATTCGTTACTAAACTCTTGCAGATTTCCCACCATCGTTATACACACTATCATTAACGTAATTATCTCCAGAATGAATCAAATCAAGATTACCAGTGCTCACTCGGAATTGGAACTAACATCATTCGATACTACGCTCCCGACAACGTGCTTGAATATTGTCTCCATACGTTTTACCAGCCGTAGATCACAATCAACTATGTACGACGCAGATTTTAGTTCTTTGGCTATCCACTTTCTCTTAGTCGACTTCACCTTCGATGTTTTGCGTTGCATAACGTGACATGGGCCCTTTTGCTGAAACCTGCCCCCAAAATCTCTGAAAACCATATTGGAACGCCATTAGCATTA